GAAAGAGACCTGGGAGTGGATGTGACACCTAATCTAACTCCTGAGGCACATATAAATAGGATAACGACAGCAGCGTACTCTACACTGGCGAAAATTAGAACTTCATTCAGAAACCTAAATGTGGAAGCTTTTAGGGCGCTTTACACTGCCTACGTGAGACCCGTCTTAGAGTATGCCGCGCCATCATGGAGCCCCCACCTGAAGAAACACATAAAGAAACTGGAGAAGGTTCAGAGGTTTGCGACGAGGCTTGTCCCAGAGCTACGAGGGATGGGATATGAAGAGCGGCTGAAGGAACTGAACCTTACGACACTAGAGAAAAGAAGGGAGAGAGGAGATATGATAGGGACATATAAAATACTCAGGGGAATTGACAAAGTGGAAATAGATGAAATGTTCACACGTAATAATAACAGAACGAGGGGACATGGGTGGAAACTGGAAACTCAGATGAGTCACAGAGATGTTAGGAAGTTTTCTTTTAGCGTGAGAGTAGTAGAAAAATGGAATGCACTTGGGGAACAGGTTGTGGAAGCAAATACTATTCATACTTTTAAAACTAGGTATGATAGGGAAATGGGACAGGAGTCATTGCTGTAAACAACTGATAGCTAGAAAGGCGGGATCCAAGAGTCAATGCTCGATCCTGCAAGCACATATAGGTGAGTACATATAGGTGAGTACACACACACACACACACACATTGGGAGCTCGCGGCTGAATAGACAGCGCTCGACAGTCGTAATCCTAAGGACCAGGGTTCGATTCGCGGCGGAGGCGGAACCAAATGAACAGAGTTTCTTTCACCCTGATACCCATGTTCACCTAGCAGTAAATAGGTACCTGGGAGTCAGACAGGTGCTACGGGTTGCTTCCTGGGGATATGTGTGTGTGTTAGAGATTAGTGTGTATTAGACATAATAGAGGAAACAATAGATTAGAAAGGTGTTATCCAAGAGCTAATAGCCCCATTCTGCAGACACAAAGATTAAATAAACACACTCTTCATCCCTACTAATGAAACTCATCCACTTTGAAACAAACTCATCCACTTTGAAACAAACTCATCCACTTTGAAACAAACTCATCCACTTTGAAACAAACTCATCCACTTTGAAACAAACTCATCCACTTTGAAACAAACTCATCCACTTTGAAACAAAACACACAACAATATCAGACATCTATGTGGAAAGTCTCTTCAATAAACGTTTTGGAGAAGTTAGTGTACTAAATATATATATACAAGCGCTGGAAACAACATTCCCAGCTCGTGTTTCATATCCATAAAGTTATATATATTAAACAAAAACAGTATACAATTATTTTTGGACGAAGTTTTGTGTGTTGGTTTTAATTCTGAGGCGGACGACGCCCGGGCTGTGAGTTAATGATGCGTTTGTTCCTGCACCAGTACGAACTCTATATATATATATATATATATATATATATATATATATATATTATATATATATATATATATATATATATATATATATATATATATATATATATATATATATATATGTCGTACCTAGTAGCCAGAACGCACTTCTCAGCCTACTATGCAAGGCCCGATTTGCCTAATAAGCCAAGTTTTCATGAATTAATATATTTTCTCTAATTTTTTTCTTATGAAATGATAAAGCTACCCATTTCATTATGTATGAGGTCAATTTTTTTTTATTGGAGTTAAAATTAACGTAGATATATGATCGAACCTAACCAACCCTACCTAACCTAACCTAACCTATCTTTATAGGTTAGGTTAGGTTAGGTGGCCGAGAAAGTTAGGTTAGGTTAGGTTAGGTAGGTTAGGTAATCGAAAAACAATTAATTCATGAAAACTTGGCTTATTAGGCAAATTGGGCCTTGCATAGTAGGCTGAGAAGTGCGTTCTGGCTTCTAGGTACGACATATATATATATATATGTCGTACCTAATAGCCAGAACGCACTTCTCAGCCTACTATTCAAGGCCCGATTTGCCTAATAAGCCAAGTTTTCATGAATTAATGTTTTTTCGTCTACCTAACCTACCTAACCTAACCTAACCTAGCTTTTTTTGGCTACCTAACCTAACCTTACCTATAAATATAAGTTAGGTTAGGTTAGGTAGGGTTGGTTAGGTTCGGTCATATATCTACGTTAATTTTAACTCCAATAAAAAAAAAATTGACCTCATACATAGAGAAAAGGGTTGCTTTATCATTTCATAAGAAAAAAATTATAGTAAATATATTATTTCATGAAAACTTGGCTTATTAGGCAAATCGGGCCTTGAATTGTAGGCTGAGAAGTGAGTTCTGGCTATTAGGTACGACATATATATATATATATATATATATATATATATATATATATATATATATATATATATATATATATATATATATGTCGTACCTAATAGCCAGAACGCACTTCTCAGCCTACTATTCAAGGCCCGATTTGCCTAATAAGCCAAGTTTTCATGAATTAATGTTTTTTCGTCTACCTAACCTACCTAACCTAACCTAACCTAGCTTTTCTTGGCTACCTAACCTAACCTTACCTATAAATATAGGTTAGGTTAGGTTAGGTAGGGTTGGTTAGGTTCGGTCATATATCTACGTTAATTTTAACTCCAATAAAAAAAAATTGACCTCATACATAGAGAAAAGGGTTGCTTTATCATTTCATAAGAAAAAAATTATAGTAAATATATTAATTCAGGAAAACTTGGCTTATTAGGCAAATCGGGCTATGAATAGTAGGCTGAGAAGTGAGTTCTGGCTACTAGGTACGACATATATATATATATAGGGGTACCACCTCTGGTGCAATTGTAGGGACCCATAGCCTCGGAGAAGAAAATAAAGAGTACTCAGAGAAGACCTTGTGGATCCTCACTGAACACTTTGATATTTTCTTCTCCTACCACCCCTATTCTTTTGTTAAGTGTGTATATTTATCTAACTTTATTTGAAAATGTCATTACACAAAAAAGTTACAATATTGATTACATACAGGGTACAAGGCTGCTTGTCACAAGTTGAATAGCTCCTCCAGCTCCTCAGATGGCGGGCAGGAACCATGGATGCAGTGAGCATTTATATATATATATATATATATATATATATATATATATATATATATATATATATATATATATTATAATGTGTGTAATTATATATAAATCACATACTGTGTTGTTTAAGAGAGTAGTTACAGTCCACAAGAGGGTGCAACTGCTGGTATGATTACCTGTCTGATAATGCCATTGACAAACGGTAAACAATGCTGCCGTTGTTTCCTACCCCTATACTACCGTTGACGGGGTGTCATAGCAACAGCTGTGTTCTTCCTTATACTCCCCCCGTTGACGGCCGTCAACATCTGCCACCGTTTCCCGCGCTTCCGTCGACGGCCGCTAAAAACGGCCCGTTGTTTCCGCGTCACAAAATCGAGCCATGAAAATTCCATTACGACCATCCTATACTCTTATTGCTGCTCGCTTACACTCTAAATTTGTCAAGCTCAGCGCCGGTACGAGGCTCCAGACATGGCACCGGCAATATGGCACCGATGTATGAATACAACATTGTATAATCTCGTTATTGCAATTCATATATATATACATGCAGGACACGCGGACGCTTTGGGGGCATTAATTTTTGTAGCGTTTTTTTGGATTTTTGTTTTTTTTAACATACAAGACACCGTTTTCTGTGGATGATTTTCCAGTGAGTTTGGAATTTGTAAAGTTCACAGTCTGCAAATGATGGTATTGTAGTGTTTTATTTTTAATTAATCCACGCTCCAGGGTCATATATATATGTGTGAATGTGTGTATGTATGCATGAAGGCATATATGTATGAGTTATTTATACAAGTGGATGAATTTATGTATATGTATCACCTGAATTTATCTGAGGGCTATCATCTCTAGCGTCCTGATGGGTACAGGAAGCCAGCGGCTTGTGTAAGGTCCCTTTCCTCTCCTCCCTTTTTCCCTGAAGATATTTTTTAGATGATTTAGGCACCGTCCACCGTCTTATACTCTTGGCCCGGTGATTATTATCGTATCAGGTTTCGAACCTATGGACGGAGGGATGAGTATTCAACCCCTTTTAGTTTGTCACCTGTCTAGCACCGGTGTTTCTTAGGCTTCAGAAGAAGTGTTCCTCCCTTCATCCCTGTAACAAGCTTTACTGGTCATCTTGAGGTTATCTTGAGATGATTTCGGGGGCTTTAGTGTCCCCGCGGCCCGGTGCTCGACCAGGCCTCCAACCCTAGGAGTATCAGCAGCTTTCACCCCTCCACCCCTAGGATGATCCCAGCAGCCTCCACCCCAGCCTCCACTCCTAGGATGATCAGCAGCCCGCGACAGCTGACTAACTCCAAGGTACCTAATTACTGCTCCTCCCCGCCCGTGTCCCAGCAAACACACAACGAAACTACGACGTTGGTACAAGGACGTCGAACAAGTTTTAACACCTCATAACCAGTTATAACAACCAATATAGCAAGTTGTAACAACGTTCTAATACGTCATAAACACGTTAAGCCAAGATGTAACAACTTTATTACACGTTGTAACAAGCGAAAAATAGGGACTGTTACGATTTGTGTTTCCAAGGGTTTGTGTGTGGGGGTGTATGTCTAGTTGTATGTATGTGTGTGTATATATCTGGCTGTATGTGTGGGGGCTGTGTGTGTCTGTTGAATTCAGCTAATTTGATTGAGTTTCCATTTAATCATGTATTGTACGAAATTGGAACGAGGAATACATAACATGATGAGGCGGCAGTGTATTCAGGTAACGAGAGACGAAGCTCATTAATATACATACATACATACACGCAAATGATTCATTCATATTGTCCAAATTGAATTAATCCCGTTTGGCACCTGTAGCGTTCTCTGTGCAAAAATATTCTGGGTGATTTCAGAGACGTGCTGACGAGTGTTCAATCCCGCAGGCGATTTATTTCGCATAGAATTATTTTGTTACTGATGTTCATGGCTGTCACTAATGTTATTGTGGTTGTTATTGCTGTTATTGTGGCTGTTATTGCTGTTATTGTGGCTGTTATTGCTGTTATCGTGGCTATCACTGCTGTTATTGTGGTTGTTATTGCTGTTATTGTGGTTGTTATTGCTGTTATTGTGGTTATTATTGCTGTTATTGTGGTTATTGCTGTTATTGTGGTTGTTATTGCTGTTATTGTGGTTATTGCTGTTATTGTGGCTGTCACTGCTGTTATTGTGGTTATTATTGCTGTTATTGTGGTTGTTATTGCTGTTATTGTGGCTGTCACTAATGTTATTGCTGATATTGTGGCTGTCACTAATGTTATTGTGGTTGTTATTGCTGTTATTTTGGCTGTCATTGATGTTATTGTGGTTGTTATTGCTGTTATTGTGGCTGTCACTGCTGTTATTGTGGTTGTTATTGCTGTTATCGTGGCTATCACTGCTGTTATCGTGGCTATCACTGCTATTATCGTGGCTATAAATGCTGTTATTGTGGCTGTCATTGATGTTATCGTGGCTATCACTGCTGTTATTGTGGCTGTCACTGATATATATATATATATATATATATATATATATATATATATATATATATATATATATATATATATATATATATATATATATATATATACATACATGGATCCTGCCAACACAGGGAGGAAGCAGAACACAAAATTATGTCAGGTGGTAATTAGCCCCAAAATCCTGTTCTCTTAAACCATATTCAATAACTTAGCGCTTTCCACGCTCCAGTCTAATGGAATTTGTACAAAAGGATGAAAAAAATACACAAGTAATCTACTTAGTGAAATTGGGTGGAAGCCTAGAGTGTGATGAATACACTAACTCAACGGTGATTGAATGA